CCAAAAAGTAAATGAATTTGCCGCTTACAAAAAACTAAAAATTTGCAAATCTCAATTTAGAATGTTTAGGTCTTTGAGCAATGATTTGTGGGGGTATTACATTAATGAAAAATCAGCTTTCAGCTTAAATAAAACTAATAATAATTATGTGGCTTCTTCCAGTCAGTTTCCAACATGAACAGTCTCCTATTTATGACCCCATAACGACATTATCACTTTGCAAGGAAGAATTTCAAAATGCCCTTCTAAAACTATAGTCAAGGACATTGATGGTAAGCAGAAATGTAGAACACAATCCAAAAGCACCAAAATCCCGCACAATAAGAATTGGACTTGATTTATTTGGTTATAGCAAAATAATGGCCCTACTTAAGTAAAACAGCAATCTCCTTTGCATTTTGTAAAAAGAACAACTGTTTCCCCATTTCCACTGAAAAAGATAGAACATGACATGCAATCCCCAAAAGCCATGGTATTGTGGGTAATAAAAACATATGATTGATATAATTAGTGTATACCCTATTCAAGGGATTAAATGGTTCCTCACTGTCCCCTACCTACATCTCAAAAACTAAGTAACTCAGTAACTTCCCACAAAACACAGACAATTAATAAAAAAAAAACTTAGTCGCAAATCTACCCTTATCAAAATATTCTTTTTTTTAAGAAAAGATGTCATTTGGCACAAACTATTCCCAGACAGAAAAGGAGTCTACCTGTTCTCACAATTCTCAGGCAATCAACTGTTGAACGTGCAGCATTGTTGGATATTTTTCATTGTGTATTTTGTGGCCAAAATAATGCATTGCGTTAGCTTCACTATATGTACAAATTCCATTCTATTTGCTACACTAATTACTGTCAATTAGTGACTAACACAGCAAATATTTACAGAATGCATGAGTTAGACACACATGACTAAGAATGATGAGGTGCCAAGGAACATGCGCAATTTAGCTGAAACAGAATCATGGTCCAGATCTTTAATTGACTACAAAATAAACAGCAGTGAAGTTCACGCACATGGGTTGACCTGTAAACAGATTTATTCATCACCTGTAGTTTATGAGGCATTCAACCCTGTGGCCAGAGCTAACTGAGCAACCGACTGCTGAACCCAAGGGAACATCGTCATGCGCTACATTCTATAATGCATTATGACACCAGCACACAGTCACCATAATGTACCAAATATCACACACAAAAATAAATGTCAAATTTAAATATTAACAACTTATGATTATAATGAATGAAATAAAATTATTTGCTCAAGCACTTAAATACAATTTGAAAACTGGAAGAACCACTTCATGCAGAATTTGACTTCAGATACCCTCGCAAAAAGCTATAAAACTTTATGGGCATCAGTTGTTTTATTTTAATGTTCGATCAAAATTTCTGTCAGAGTTATCTGCTAAGATATCAAGAACTGTTAAGTTGTAAAGAAAAAAAAAAATGAAACCTTTCCAAAATATATTTCCCTACGTGAAGGGTGCTTCCCCCAACTGTAAATATAACCACATGGTATTGCAGCTCATCAATAAGTAGTCAAAGCTACAGTCTGAATAATTAGTCTGGTCGAGTGAGACGTCTTGTTAAGCTGTTAATCATTCTTCCATGATTTGTATTAAATATTTAAGACAGTGGGAAGGAATCAGTCTTAGTTCCAAATCCTGCTCAGTATTAGTCAGTCAGAGGACCTGGCTACAACGACACACCCACTAAATTAAAGTCATAGCAGGCTGGACAGAAAACTCTAATTAAACTTACTTTCCCTGTCTTTCCCTCATGGTTACACTTTGGACATTCCCAGCAGTTTGGAAGCTCTTCATTGACAACTCCATCTCCATCCTGTACCTAGTAACAAGTGCAGGAAGTTCATGTCATTAATAAAAGTCAATTCTGATAATTGCTAATTCTTCAGCAACACACATGAACAAAGTAAGATTTCTCACTAAAAATACAATTAACAATGGATAGTTATGTATATCAATATTATACAAAGACCACATTAATCAGATTGTTGTTCTCTAGACCTTAACGTTTTGTAATGGGAAGAAACAAAGCAGGACAAAAAGCACTTAATAAATTATTTCCGATAACAGCACATATTTCAAATCACGAACTACAATCATCAGCCGTATGCTTTGCACTGTTGGCACACATGGAACATGTCCCTTATTTTAGATAAAGCAGGTTAAAGAGTACAATGGTGTAGATTTCCTGTAAGTTTAAATCATACGGCAATTTTTCCGCAGAAATAAAGTGTGTTTAATCCAGCTCTTTACAGTCAAAGTTGTTGTGTTCAAAGTCAGGTTTAAGTTATGGGACTGCACTTGTTCAAATAAAACAGATGTGGTAGAGAGTGCTAATTTCACAGTTGCTATATTTCTGGAACATTTACCGTTTGATACATGTTTCCATCTCACATGGTGCATAGAAATCTTGCTGCAGAACTTCTTACTTCACAGCTTTTTATTAATCAGCATTGAATTAATTACTTCAGTGGGTTGGGATGAGTATCACAAATAAAATTCAGATCACTTATATTGAATCCAGAAAATAACATTCACTGCCAAATGCACAGCAAGAGCCAGAAACACCAGGGTTTTCCCCCCCTCATTCATGGAATATAGGCAACATTGGCCAGGTCAGCATTTATTGCCCATCCCTAACTGCTCTAGAGAAGTTGGTGGTAAAACAACTTCTTGAATTGCTGCTGACTGTGTGGTTTAGGTACACCTGTGTTGCTGTCACAGAGAAAGTTCCAGGATATTGACCTAGTAACAATGAAGTTCACTGGGAAGTGTGAAACAATCAAAGCTAAACAATGTACTTTATAGGTATGCTCAAAAATAGTGTTGACCAGAACTTAGACATCAAATGAATTCTATTTACATGCCTCTATTTTCATGTAATTTGGTCTAATGGAGACTGGTTAATCTGCTACGATCAGCTATGTTACTGAATTGTACAGACATAAACTGATAACCCCAAGTTTTACTAAAAGAGGTGCAAAATATTCTGTTGCTTTTACTTAATCAAAAAAATTATAACTTTAATTAAGTACATAATATGAATGTAATTAATTATAAAGTAAGTATAAATCATGATAGAACAATGTTTTGGGTTTAATCTGGCAGTTCTCACACTGCTTTACAGTATCACAGTATGTCTAACAAATTATATTGATAAAGATGACTTTCTTTAACCTTAAGACAATGGGCATTGGGATAAATTCCTACATTGTGTATTATATCAAGGTAAGTAGCTGCTGTAAGGTTTTATCACAAGCTAATTACCAACAAAACATCCACTTTAGTGACTGATACGCTAAGGAGATTCATTTTATATTTATACATCTTTGGGCTTCTATTTCACACTGATGACAATACTCAATCTTTTGTGTCACTTTCCTCCAATTTTCTTTTAGATCTATTTGATGACCTGCTGGAAATCAGCTTAAATATTAAACAAAGTATTCCAGCAAAAGTCAGCACTTTTAAAAGATGAAGGGAAAGAATTACCTTTAACTGCTTTACCTTTAAGCAGCCAGGATGCACAATTTCATTACAAATTGAGCATTCCATCAGCATGAAATTGAACTTTTCCTCCTCTTCTTCCACAGTGTCCTCCTTTCCTGCTTCTCCACAAATGAGACAGACTGCTGTATGTGGCAGGACCGGCTATGGAGAAAACAGACACCATAAAACTGCCATCTATGATACTTCAACATGCCATTATAACCCACAGCAGTTGTTCCTAGTCCATGTTAGCATTATCTTTGTAGAATAATCTTCAACTATTTTAGTTATATGTCCCAACACACTATTGTGTTTTCAATCACTTTTCCATACTGCCTTAATTTGGAATCTGTCATTCCAAAGTCCTTCTGAGAAAAATCTCCTTCACCTAACCTTATTTCTTCCAGCATATTGCTATTTTTTTCCACTTTACAAAGCATCTACAAATTTGTCCTTGTTCTGTCTGATTGAATAATAAACACAGATATTCCAACAAAACCTCATTTGCACTGACAGAGACGGACTCACAGTTCTCCTTTTTAGTGCACTCAATTCCAAATAGGATTAAGTTGAGTAGTCTATAAAAATGCCAATCCATTGTCTCAGCTTCCCAAAATTAAGGTTGCTCAAGGAGCTGCCATTGCTATCCCACTATTATATCAATCCTGTATTTGTCAACCTCCGTTGCTTCCGGCTTGCCAACACATTATTAAGGAAGAAGAGATTTTTCAATTCAAAAATGTCCACAACACTACGCTATCTTACCCCTGCAATTTCCTTCAGCTCTTAGTGTTAGCATGTACCCTCTATATTTCTAGCTCTGCATTAACTCTTAATTTCATTTGATCAATTGCAGTCTTCAGTCCTCCACCTCATCAACTATCTGTCTACAAAAACCAAATCAAAACTTGTTTGACTATAACATAGCTCACTTTTGTTAGGTTTTCCCTTACTGCATTTACTTTTGTCTTTTCACATATCTTGTAATAAAGGTATTTTATCAATAAAAGATATTTTATAAATATATGTAATTCTGAAAAACAGCAGCCGGTTGCTCTCCTGAAACAACAGCAAATCAAAATCACCTGTACTCCATAAATGTACGTTTCACACCAGGTAAGATTTAAACCCATGAGAGTTAGATGATGCAATATCCTACCATTATCATCACTTTGGGTTCAATACAATACAAGCAACATTAATACTTTGACACAATGCTCTGACAGTGGATTACACAGAAACAGGATTGCATAGAATATGTAGAAAAAAACCACGTGTCAATCAGTCTACATTGATGTTTATTCTCCATTGAGTCTTCCCCAGTCTTTCCTCATCTATTACTGTAACCCGCTAATCCCTTGCAAACCCGATTTAACATTTACATCAAGGAAACATGACAGTATAGCAAGCCAGGGACAAACACTGATTCCACTTATCCTATTTAACCACAAATTCCTATTTACCACACTCTGTAGATTAACCAAATTAAACAATTAAAGGTTTACAGGTTTGGACAGATTTTCCAGCTGTTGTTGTTCCCATGTAGTGTAAACACATGATAACATAAAAAATACAAATTAGAATAAGCACATAAATATATAGATTTTAATCCTCGGGTGGAATCAGACAACAGCAAACTTTGCACTTGGCAAGGCTGCATATGGCTAGCCACATGCAATTTCCAGAGGCTGGTCTAATTGCATATTCATACAAGTTCTCAGTCCGCATTGAGCCTACTGACTAGAGCTCAGAAGGTCAACAGATTATTATAGGGTAGTAGTTGCTTTGGTGTATATTTACTTTCCTTTATTAGTCATTCAATTTAGTTCAAAATGTATAGTCTGACACCATAGCGTTTTCTTAGCAGTCAGAGCAATAAAGAGCTGACTGGAGGTATTCCATGTTCTAACTAAAATAATCCAGCAGTAAATTGTGGAGATTTTTTAACTCAGCAGCATGCAACACCCTAGTTATTTAATACAATTTATATTTGGTTGAGTAGAGATATAGGACAGCTGATGTTGATGGCCTTCCATCAAGTTTTCGACGGTAGACCAAATTACACTTCATAGTTTCAACGAAGAATCATACAGTACACAGGTAGTCATTTCCTCCATTGTGCTTGTGCTGACTTGTTGTAAGAGCTACGTGCTTAGCCATATTCTCCTGTTTTCTCTCCACTAACCCAGCAAATGGTGCTCAATAATCTGGATTACACCATGACTACAATACAGCAAGTCTCCCAATGGACCTGCTACCACTATTGCCCAAAATAGTCCAAACATGTATTCCAAACATTTGATCAGTTTCCTAAAAAATACATTCAAGAATGTGGGCTTCAATGGCTGGGTCAGCATTTATTGCCCATTCCTAATTGCCCTTGACAAAGTGATGGTGAGCTGTCTTCTTGAACCCTTGCTAGCCATGGGTAAAGGGCAACCTTTACTGCCGATTGAAAGGGAATTCTAGGATGTTGAACCAGTGTACAAATATTGGCATTTGGTACAGATTGATTCAGTTTCTGAGGAGTGCTGCACAATGTGTAACAGTCAGCAACTTCCCCACTTCTGACCTTATGATGGATTTAAGGTCATTGAATATGATGGGCTGGGCCTAGGACACTGGCAGAAGGAACTCCTACCAAGATGAGGCTGAAGTGACCAATCTCCGATAACCACAGCCATCTTCCTTCGTACAAGGTTCGATTCCAACTAGCTGAGTGTTTTCCCCAATTTCCACTTACTCTAGTTCTGAGTTGTATTGGGCATTTCAAAACTGTTTCTCAGAAAAGGTACAAGACAACAAGAGTTGGTTTAAGACAGTTATAATATGCAACCTTATAAAGCTTGTATGTGTAAGATTGCTTTGGAATGGTGTCTGAAATTTACGATAAAGTGAAGGAGCTCATGTGATTTGCTCTGAAGTTTGCCAATAACCTGGTTTCAGTGTCTTGACTGTTGAGAGATGGTTTTACTGGGATGAAAGTGCAAGGTGAATATAGTTTCAAATGTTCCTTAGTAAAGAGCTGTGTTTTGAATTTCGAAGATAACACAGCATCAGGATCTCAAGGATAGCTAATCAGTGTTTTATCCTTGATACAAGGCCCATGTAATTCACACTAGCATGGAGACTGTCTTTAAGAAGGAAACAGCCTAAAGGTATCCCTGAAAATGGGGATAGATTTACATAAGAACATAAGAACTGGGAGCAGGAATAGGCCATCTGGCCCCTCGAGCCTGCCCTGCCATTTAATAAGATCATGGCTGATCGTTTTGACACTCAGCTCCACTTACCCGCCCGCTCACCATAACCCTTAATTCCTTTATTGTTCAAAAATTTATCTAGCCTTGCCTTAAAAACATTCAGCGAGGTAGCTTCAACCACTTCACTGGGCAGGGAATTCTACAGATTCACAACCCTTTGGGTGAAGAAGTTCCTCCTGACCTCAGTCCTACATCTGCTTCCCTTTATTTTGAGGCTATGCCCTCTGGTCCTAGTTTCACCTGCTAGTGGAAACAACCTTTTTCTGAAGAAGGGTCTCGACCCGAAACGTCAGCTTTCCTGCTCCTCTGACGCTGCTTGGCCTGCTGTGTTCCTCCAGCTCTACACCTTGTTATATCAGTAGAAACAACCTCCCTGCCTCCACCTTATCTATTCCCTTCATAATCTTATATGTTTCTATAAGATCTCCCCTCATTCTTCTGAATTCCAATGAGTACAATCCCAGCCTACTCAGTCTCTCCTCATAATCCAACCCTCTCAACTCTGGAATCAACCGAGTGAATCTCCTCTGCACCCCCTCCAGTGCTACTATATCCCTTCTCAAGTAAGGAGACCAAAGCTGCACACAGTACTCCAGGTGTGGCCTCACCAGGACCCTATACAGCTGCAGCATAGCCTCCCTGTTTTTAAATTCTATGCCTCTAGCAATGGCAGACAAAATTCCATTTGCCTTTTTAATCACCTGCTGCACCTGCAATCCTACTTTTAGCGATTCATGCGCAAGGACACCCAAGTCCCTCTGCACAGCAGCATGCTGCAATTTTTTACCATTTAAAACATAGTCCAATTTGCTGTTATTCCTACCAAAATGGATGACCTCACACTTATCAACATTGTACTCCATCTGCCAGACTTTTGCCCACTCACTTAGACTATCTATATCCCTCTGCAGACTTTCAGTGTCTTCTGCACACTTTACTCTACCACTCACCTTAGTGTCATCTGCAAATTTTGACACACCACACTTAGTCCCCAACTCCAAATCATCTATGTAAATTGTAAACAATTGCGGTCCCAACACTATCCCTGAGGCACACCATCAGCCACTGACCACCAACCAGAAAAACACCCGTTTACCCCTACTCTTTGCTTTCTACTAGTCAACCAATCCTCTATCCGTGCCAATACATTACCTGTAATACCGTGCAACTTTATCTTATGTAGCAGCCTTTTGGTGTGGCGCCTTGTCAAATGCCTTCTGGAAATCCAGATACACCACATCCACAGGATCCCCATTGTCCACCATGCAAGTAATGTCCTCAATTTACCTATTTGCAGCATGGTGTTGAGGGAGTTTCACAGCACCAGTCCACTAAGGTCCAGGATGAATTTTTTCACACGATCTTTCACTTTTTACTATCGCGGCCAATTCCTTCAGTGGTAACTAATTGTGGTAGTGCCCCCCAACTGACTGTAAACGCCACTTAACCTCACTGAGGACTCTTCAGCTTTGACTTTCACAAAAGACCATTTGATTGAGCAATGCAATGGGTTTATTATGTTAACTGCTGGCAAATTTGACAGCTCTGATATTGATGTAACATGGTGTGTTAGAGGAGCATATCCAACTCCTGTATGAATGAAACATTTACTGTTCAGCACACTGCACCATCACAAGCTGCCTATCTGCCACTGCTTTCAAAGCAAACTGGTAGTAGCACATAAGTCATAGGTGTCAGTTAGCTCCCGAGTATAAGAGTTGACAGTGTGAAGTGGTGGCTGGGTTCGTCCAAGAGCAAACGTGGTGACAGTGGTGGTTTACCGGTGTGGATATGTGTAGATAAAAAGGTCCACAAGGATGGTGACCATGGAACATGCAGGAAGAAGCAGGACAGCAGAATGATGGCTAACATAGACATTTGATGAGCTGAAGCTACTAGGTATCCAATCTATTTTACCTGTCAGGAAAGTGCACGAAGGGAGAACTAGAAATGACATCTAAACAGGGCAAGTTACATCACTAAGTGATATAAGATGTTGCATTTAATCAAAAAGGTAGAAATTTTTAAAATTATGAAGCAGTCTTTGGAGGGTTAGTAAGAATTTGATGGGCCAAATGGCCTGCTTCCACACTGTAGGGATACTATGATTCTAGTTGCTATTTGGCTCCTGCAAGCAAGTGAAAGTCTCTGGAGAAGAGAGTTCAAGGAGCATTAAGTACTGGCAAGCCAAAAGGATCATGTCAGCAAATTCTGGGGACAGGAACAATTGAACTTTTTCCCCAGGCTTTCCCTCTACCCACAACATCACTGTGTCTGTAAGCGTGCGCAGGGTAAGTTTACGGGGTTGACAGTTTTAACTGGTAGCGTTTTATGTGTCGACAGTCCACAGCTGTTTATCTGTAGCTGTAATCTATTTATCCATAATAGTCATTCTTGTTATGAAGCATAGTCTATGCTTTCTGTTAACCTGGATATAAACACAAGTATATTAAGGAAATTTGCATACTTTGATTAACTTTTGTATTTTTGTGATGACGCCAAAAATGGCTGGGCTCTACTTCTAGTGCACAACTCAGAGAGGCATGACACCTGCAAGAGCATTATTATGGAATGTAAGTATGAAGGGGAAAATTAAAGTAGAGAAAGGATAAGTAAACCATATTTCAACAAAATGTGAGGACATACATTTTTGATGTAATATTTACACTAACTTAACTATAGAATTTGCTGTAGGACAGCAGGGATAAGGTGAATTAGCTTGGACTTTCTCATGACGATTATTGAGTGACCTATGTTGGAACTGGAGCTTGTGCAAACAGTTCATGAGAAAATTTATTTTAGCAATATTCTCCCTAAGAACAGGTTAACCTACAGGTGGGAAAATTGCACTTGACTGAAGCACCTGAAGACTAAAACTATAAAGCAGTAGCTTGGATTGAACATCAAAAAGTTTTTTTTAAATGTCCAGGTGAAGTATTACTGGGGTCATTGTGCCATTGAGACTGAAAGAAGATTAACATCAAAGCTAGGTTGCTTTACTTGAAAAATGTCTCTTCCAATGTGATTTTGTCAACAAGAAGTTAAAATTAGCCAAAGATTCGGCATATTAATCCTGAGCTTTAATGCCTTCCAAGCAGCTAATTGTTAAAAAGTTAATTCACTGATGAATGAAAAACTAAAGAAAGAAATGGCTGTAAGGCAGCAGAGAAACATCCAATCCACCTATTAATTGACGTATTTATTATCAGCAGTCTTTTCTTCTTAATTCTTGACACTCATAGCAATTTGCAAATAACACCTTAATTAAATTAATTCTAATAAATTTTCATAATTTATTTAAAAGTTGCAATTTTGCTAGCAGAAATAAAAAATGCAATATGAATCCTTCATTAGTATTACATCCAAAACATATGAAACTGAGCAAGTTATTTTCCTAAAGCTGTGACCTCCACCAGCTAGAAGGACAAATGCAGCAATGACAAACCACTTCATGCTCCCTTCCAAGTCATATATCACCCTCACTTAGAACTTTGCTGCCATTCCTTCATTGTCGTTGGGTCAAAATCCTGGAACTCTGGCCCTTACAGCATTCTGGATGTACTAATACCACTCTGCCTTGAAATCAGTGATTCATTAAGAAACTACAGTATGCTTTGTAAACAGAAAAACGTGCCCCCACACCTCAAAAACATTAATATTAGGTTTTTCCGATAAATATTGCAAGGCATGTCAACAGAACTGACAGCGACTTTGCCTTTGAATATGGGCTAAGAAAATATGATGATCCTACACTCCAAAGCATAATATGTGAAAAGAAACCTGAAGGTATCAATGTTTTGGGGATGGGACAGCAGCAGGGACAGGCAAGGGGGGCAGGTTACTGCAGGTCCTCCCAGAAATTAACCTTTGCACTTATGGCACTTGCAGATATGTACTTCCCTCCTTAATCTTGCAGTGCAAATTCACTCTTAACCACATTGCCATCCCCCTTTGGGATAACCTGAATACCAGACTTTTCCCGGCACTCAGTCAAATGACTAGAAATGAACATAAGAATTTTGACAGTGTTAGCCAGCCACTGAACCAAATGGAGCATTACGGCCAAATCTATTCAATATTTACACATGCAGTTTTTAAGCAAAATCCGGAACCATACCTGCATTTCCTGCCTAATGCTAAAAGCAGTTTCATAGATTATTTTACTATTCTGAAAGAAACCAATTCACTCCACTCAAAATGGGTACCAAATATTGGTTCTCCATTGCTTTAAAAAAAATACTCTTAAGTTGACTGGAGAGACTTGCTAATCCATTAGAAGGATTTGTTTTTTTACAATAACGAACACACATTCTTTCATCGCCTGGTTTCTTTTAAACTTGAAGAATATTTAACAATCTGCAACCAGCTGAATCAGCATTTTTGGATGTACTGTTCCTAAGTTCTGGTCAACAGGATGGATGATCAGATAGTGCACCTATAATCCTGTCTCAGTTAATACTTTGACATCCAAACTTTTTCAGTTCAGTCACACATAGATGGGGCAGTTAACAAGGAATTTGGCACGCTTGCCTTCACTGCTCAGTCCTTTGAGAATAGAAATTGGGAAGTCATGTTGAGGTTGTACAGGACATTGGTGAGGTCTCTTCTGGAATACTGTGTCCAGTGCTGGTCGCCTAGTTATAGGAAGATTATCATCAAACCGGAGAGGGTTCAGAAGAGATTTACCAGGATGTTGCCGGGTATAGAAGGTTTGAGTTATAAAGAAAGGCTAGATAGGCTGGGATATTTTTCACTGGAACATTGGAAGTGAGCCTTGGCCTGGTATAAGTTTATAAAATAATGAAAGGCATAGATAGACTTAATGGCAGTTGCCTTTTCCCAAGAATGGGGCATTTCAAGACTAGGGGGTACATTTCTAAGGTGACAGGAGAGAGATTTAAAAATGACGAGGGGCAAACTTTTTTTTAAACAGAGGGTGGTTTGCATGTGAAATGAACTTCCTGAGGTAGTGGTGAATATGGGTACAATTACATTTAAAAACACATTTGGAAAAGTACATGAATAGGAAAATTTTGAGCAAGCAGGTGAGACTAATTTTATGTGCGGCGTGGGCTAGTTGAACCGAAAGGGTCTGTTTCTGTGCTGTATGACTCTATAACTGATCTGGAGTGAAATGCTTGCTGTACAATGGTCCAAGACCTCTTCATCCAGTGTTTTACCATGCTCAAAATCTTCCACCTCAACAATCTAAGAAGGCTCAGAGACCCATTTTTGGTCGGGCAAGAATGTAAGAGTCTTGCTAGTGTGAGATCAATAGCCACAAATGTGGGAAAATGGAAACATTTCACCATATTGTAACTTACAGCAATGCACTGCCTCATGATACAGGACTGCTTCATTCTCCCTGGTCCTCCAAACTTCTTCATGTCCTTGCAGAAATGGCACTCCCCACATTCTGTTCTTCGACATGCCTCGCATTTTCGACACCTTGTTCTCCTCCTGCGTGCTCCAGCTGTAGCCCGGTTTGCAGCAAGCTTCACAGCTGCAGAAGTTCCAAGCTTTCCTTTTGGTCTTCCTACTGCTCTATGCTGTAAAACAATAAGAAAAGCAGAATCTAAATTACCTCAGTTTGCTCAAACATTTCTTTTTCGCAGACTATAAACAAATACCAAAATTCAGTACAATGCAACAACATCTGTTCTTTGAATGGCTGTATACATGCCCATATTTGTAGCATAGTCATGGAAAAGGATATACCATGAAGGCTAAAGACACAAATCAAAATGCTCCTAATTCACAGAAATTAGCTAAACCTACATACCAACACTAAAAAGTCAGTACAGCAGAAGTGTTTCATTATGTGAAAGACATATCAACAGGCCACACTGGTTGCTATGCATCTCTGTTCAAGACTAGCAATAATAGACCTTTTTTTAAAATCATTTAACAAAACCAGTCAACATCATGACACAGAATAATTGTAAATATGAATGTTTTAAAGGAATTTAGCTTCCTTCAGACTTGCTGCAGCATATATTTGAGATTTGCAGCACAACCACATCAAGTGACTAGGTAATGAGATCAACCGAATTCGACTAAAAGCAACTTTATCCTCTAGTTGCCTCTTCCTTTCCCCTTAGAAGTTGTTTGAAGTCAAAAGTCAGCAATTCATCACAAACCTGTCGTTGCTAATTTCTCACGTTAATATTTTGGAGAAGCAACTAACGCAACCTCTGCAAATAACTTACCTTGATTGAATACACATTATAAGAGTTAGCAAACAAACTGAATCAATACATCCCCTCATACAGATGAGGGCCCTGGTGTAGAATCATGCATAAATGACATTACTTGTCGTTACTTTCCTTTTCAAATGCTCATCTGTCAGCATAATAAAACCCGTATTATAACTGGTGCACATTTCCTGTCATCACAACACACTTCCTGTGTCAGATCTAATCGCATACAATTTCCTGCCTAGTCTTTTGCACCAAGAAGCAATCGGAGAGCACGGAGTTGGTTCAATGTGGATGAAAGCGTCAACTAGAATCTGGTGCTGCTACATAGAATTTGGATGCTGCACTTGTGCCTACAGCTGGTGTTGCTGACAGGCAACAAGATGGAATCATTGGAGACAACGTATAAATCCTTGGGAATTTTAGGAAGTGGTTGCATGGGAATAGGAAAAGAATCTATCCATGGATAAATGTGACTATACATTCCAGCAATAAATAGTCCAAGAGATTTATGTTTAAGAATTAGACATGTCCTGAACCAAGCTGTTCCAGTACAGCAATAACAGCATCTACCCAGTAATGTGGAAAACTGCCATGTCCTGTCCACAAAAAGAAAGACAAATCCAACCTCACTAATGACCATCCCATCAATTTACTCTTAACCATCAATTTGATGGAAGGGCTTGTTAACAGTGCTATCTAGCATGCACTTCCTCAGAAATACCTGTTTCCTGATACTCCATTTTGGTTTCACTAGTGATCTGATCTCATTAGTGCCTAAGTCCAAATGAAAACAAAAAAGCTAAACTCTAGAGGGGAGGTAAGTGTGTACCCTTGACCAAGGCAATATATCAACCAGTACGGCTTCGACGAGCTCGAATAAAACTTAAATCAATGGAAATGAAGGAGAAAACCCTCCACTGGTCAGAATAATACCTTGCACAAAAGAAGGTGGTTGTGGCTGTTGGATATGAATCATCTCAGCACCAGGGCATCACTGCAGAAATTCCCTCAGGATAGCATCCAATGCTCAACTATTTTCAGCTATTCCAATGAACTACCCTCCATCAGAAAATCTGTAAAGGGGATTTTCGCTGATGATTCTACAAAGTTCAGTACAATCCTCAGCTCCTCAGATACTGAGGTAGTGCGGTGTTTATATGCAGCAAGATCTGGACAACATTCAGTTTGGGCTGATTAGTGGCAAGTAACGTTAAACGAAAACTACTAAATTAGCAGTAGACCAAATAGTACGGTTTTTAAAAATCTGAAAGAATAATTTTACATAAAGCCACAGAGATTTACAGCACAAGCCCATACAGCACAGAGCTACCCAAAACAAATTTTACTGCCCTACTATTCGCTAATTAGTTTATCTCACTGTCTCAGATATTTATCAAATTTTACTTCAAAAGGCTGTACTGGTTTCTAAGGCCATAAGATACAAGGGCAGAATCAGGCCATTCAGTCCTTCATGTCTGCTGCACTGTTCAATCATGGCTGATATGTCTCTCACCCTCAGATCTAAAGAGTCATCCCTTCACTCTAAGACTGTGCCCTTGGGTCCTAGTTTCTCCTACTAGTTGAAACATCTTTTACACATCCGCCCTATCTAGGCCTCTCAGCATTCTAAGTTTTAATCAGAACCCCCCATCATTTTTCTAAACTCCACTGAGTAGAGACCCAGACTCCTCAACTGCTCCTCAAGTGACAAGCCCTTCATCTCCAGAATCATTCTTGTAAACCTTCTCAGAACCCTTCCAAGGCCAGTACAGCCTTCCTTAGATATGGGGTCCTAAACTGCTCACAATATTCCAAATGTGGTCTGACCAGAGCTTTATACATCATCAGAAATACATTCTTGCTCTTATATTCTCGTCCTCTCGAAATGAATGCTAACATTGCATTTGTATTCCTTACTGCCAAATGAACACGTATGTTAACCTGAAGGGATTCTTGAAGTGGAACTCGTGAGTCGCTTTGCGCTTCAGATTTCCAAAGCCTTTCCCCGATTAGAAAATAGGCCACACCTTATTTTTCTGACCACAAGGGCATAACCTCACACTTCCCCAGACTGTATGCCATCTCCCATTTCTTTGCCCACTCTTCTAGCCTGTCCAAGTCCTTCTACAGCGTCCCTGCCTCCTCAACACTACCTGTCATCAGTAGACTTGGCAACAATGCCCTCAGTTCCTTCGTCCAGATTATTGTATAATGTTGTTCCAACACTGAACCCTGTAAAGCTCCACTGGTCACCAGGTGCCATCCTGAAGAAGACCCCTTTATCGCACACTCTGCGTTCTGCCAGTCAGCCTATGATTTTACTTACAATTTGAACACATTTTATTTCTAACCTATCAACCGGTTAGCTTTTCTGCCAAATAATTTAGGCTTGATCCTCTTGTACTTCAAATGCTTCTCTATTTTGGCATATTACCCTTATTGTTGACTTTATTCTTTTTTTTTCTACTAAATCTAACGCTTCAAAATCCAATTTTTTAATATTTTAAGTTAGCCTGCAATACAGTTGTGAGAAAGACAGCTCCTTTCAGAACACAATAGCAAATCAATGTTACTCTTGAAAATCATCATTCATTTAATCACACTTTGCATTTGAGCACAAATGCCTGATCTGAACACAGATATCATAAGGAAATTAGTTGGTGAAGTTGCTTTAATGAAATTCTTAATTAACACAAAAGACTTTTGTTAACATCCTGGTTTAATGGCAATCCCAATATTCTAATTTATGCTGCGCACTGATGTTGAATAAATGCCACAAGACTGTTTTGTCACTGATCATTGGTGCCAGCAGTTTTTAAACAATTTCAGCCAGGATGCATTACTAAATAGTGGTGAAAGAGCAAGTGTGGGTGTGTCAAATCCATGTGGCACAGTTTATGAACAGTGGACAGGTAAGTTGTCCAGTGCTAAAGGACTGCAAAACAAAGAATTGATAGCTTTTCATGCTTAAGGTGGACTTGGCTCTCCGAAGAGCCTTAACAGGATGCTCACCAAACAGTCTGAATCATTATCCTTGTGGATAGAAGTCATTGTTCAATTTTATAATGTAATCAGTCACAGTAAACCGATCAAAAACCAAAAACAGAAAGCAAACAGGAACCTCAGATTTATGCAAATACAATTCCTACCTTACAATGGTAAACAGATCAATTGATTGATGCACCCTCCCTAATCGACACTAAAGCATGAAACATGTGCTTTTTAGTGATTATCACAATTTTATCTTGCACGGAAACACTATTCAAATTTAGATTCATCCAATCAGGGTAAAAGAAAAAGATAAACTAATTAAATGTCTTCTACATGCTTCTGGATGAAAGTAGTACCTCTGTTAATTGAATGCATTTTTTAAAAAAAAAAACAGCTTCTTATTATAACATCTGAGTGTTTCGAAACAGGTTAATTTTCTGGCCTTAACAACTCCTTTGAGCACCAAAACTGTTAAAACAAATCCCAAAGTCTACCTTAAATGATTAAGAGATCTTAATATTCACCTCTTTACCCTGATGTGGGTCAATGTTTTACTGGGGTTACTTAGCCTAGTTTATTAAATATTACTGATAATTCAAATGTCCTTTTGAATATAAATTCTGACACAAAAGAAAACTAAATCATCAATGCTTTTCTCATAACTCAGTTATCTCAAAGGTTTTTTGGGTGGTGGGTGGGGTAAATGCAGAACAGAACACCATTCTTATGTGAAATGAGACCATAGGATTATTTTTTCATCCCAAATTCACTGCCTGTTTAGTTTATCTTACCAAATAGAAATACTGTGCATTTTACATCCATGTAGCCTAGAAACCAATCTTTCCTGCAACACATTTTTGAAATATTTCCAGAGAAGAAAGAGATGAAGATTTAATGGTTAATTTTTTTTTTTAGGAACATTAAATGAAATTAACAAAAGTGGTGAGATAACAAGGTGTAGGGCTGGATGAACACAGCAGGCCAAGCAGCATCAGAGGGGCAGGAAAGCTGACGTTTCGGGCCTAGACCGTTCTTCATTTCTGTTTGTTGTGTGATGCCTGTTTTGATGGCGGCCAGACCTTTGGTTTCAAATCTGACCCTGAAATGAGCTGTCAATCTCATATCTGCACCATAACAGGACCCTGGAAATAAAGTTACAACCTGCCCAGTCAACAATGCAAAGTTCTCCGCACGGACCCTTGGCAATTTGCACTAAAATTAGAAGAACTGTCTCACAGACCTGTTAGGTACAAGCCTGATAGTTACACTCACTGAATTAACATCATACAGCTAATATCCCAGACTTCTCCATCACCATTTCCTGGAGTAGGGGGCGGTGAGAAGAAATATCCCAGTGA